CGGTATAAATTTTGCACCAGAAATTTTCAATAAAACATTCCCCTCCACTCACCAGAATGGTGCACCAACAATTGTCAGTAAAGTTTGTTTTACCATGCACCTTTGTGGTGCAATTCTCAGGCACTCATCAGAACGATGCAAATTATGCACCAGAAAAATGAATAAACCTTGTTTCTTCATTCACCACAGTATTGCGAACGTTTCACCAGAAATATTCAGTTAAATGTGCACCTCCAAATTTTTATAATTGGATTTCGTGTAAGTGTCTCTGCTTACGGGTCCGGACCTCCGTTTTTGGCCCTTCATACAGCGATATTGTGAATTCAGATCGGTAGCTCAAATTGATCTTGCTATTAAGTGGAGCTGCATACAAGACAAGATCTTTGAAGGGATGGTGGCTACCTTACATACACATACACCTCCAAATTTTTAGCGTGATTCAATTTTTCCACCAGGGTTATTCATTTTGATTAGTCCCTCCATGATTGATGATATTTTTACACCAGATATTCAATAAAAAAGCTTTCTCTTCGATTTACCACCACGAAGGTGAATTTTTTTAACCCTAAATTTACCTTCTTCTTTTATCCCTCGATGAACCACCTTTAAAAAAAAAATTACACCAGAATTTTTTTGTATGCATTTTTATGGTGCAATTTTTTGACCAAAAAATTTCATTGAAGTTTGTCCCTTCATGCACCTTTGTGGTGCATCTCAAAGGAATTGACGCAATAAAAGGTTTTTTGTGCACTTATAGTATGAAATGAAGTTATTTTACCTTCAAATCAAGTTATCAAGAAAACAAGTTATTTTATATCGTAATTTGAAAATGTGGAAATAAACATCTTATTTATAAAAGGAGGGGCAATTGCCCCACCCTGTGCACGCCAGTGGGTTCTCTCTGTTTATACTCTTTAGTATGACGCGCTTGACATAGATGGCCCACAGCGACTCACAAAGACCTACTGATGCCGATCAATAGCGGTGTGGCTTCTTCCTCCTTCTATGGATGCTCATGTGGCCTCCAGCTCGCTGCTTGCAGGCAGCCTTTCGTTGTGTACTGCAGAACAATGTTCAACGCCACGTGCCGAAAGCACTGCTGCTGCTGATGCCGACGACCGGACACCACCACACACGGTGATTGGACTGAATCCGATCAGCGGTTGACGGAAGCCTTGATAGCTAGCTGCTTGCGGGGAGCCTTTTGTTGTGTACTGAAGAACACCACCACTCACCACGCGGTGATTGATTTTCAGCAGACAGTAATTTTGAAGAACTGCTTAGAGAATTTTAGACTAGGGGAGTCTCACTTTTAGAATGTCCATTGAATATGCATTTAATTTAAATCAAATGCATTTAATTTCCATCGTTTGCATCAACCATTCAGTGGGATGTGAACATCAAAACAAAGCATGCACTTTTTTGGTGACACATAATCATACATACATGCATCGAGACGAAGATAAACAAACACAACAGGAAAAGAAAACTCGGAGTAGAGAATTCACGAAAATCTTCCTGCAACCTTCTCCGGCAGCAAAGAAACTCTCCAACGAAATCGTGCAGAAGCTCCCTCTGGAGTTTCCCCTGCCAACATCAAAATCACGCACAACCTGCTCCGCCGAGAACGCGAGACAACTCCGTCGAAATTCCGTAGAACCTCCGTTGGCAGCATCGGAAATTTCCACCGAAATCATGTGGAAGCTCCTCCACCTAAAACACGAGAAAATACCGTACAGATTTCCTGAAACTTCCGGTGGCAGCACCGAAAATCACCACCGTGAATGCGAGAAAACTCCGTCGAAACTGGAATCTCCGCTGGCAGAATCAAAAACCTCCACCAACATTGTGCAGAACGCGAGAAAACTCCGTTAAAATTCCCTGGAACCTCCGCTGGCAGCATCATAAATTGCCACCGAAACGGTATGGAACCTCGTCCCTCGCCTCGTCCGCCATGATCACAAGAAAACGCCATCGAAATTTCGCATTTTTTTATGTAATTGTAATATATTTATTTGTCAACATCAACAGACTCAATGTAGCCCCAATGTATTTTATTTAGTCAAACCAAGTCAAACGTAATCCTGGTGGATGAACCCTTTATCAGAATAAGACAAAGTTCCTAGAACCTTCGTTGGCAGCTGCTAGGATCGTCTTCGAAATCATGCAGAATCTAATTCGCCTAGAAGGCAAAAAATCCGTTGAAACTTCCAGGAACTCCCGCTGGCAGCATCCAAAATCATCGAAATCACGCGGAACTTCGTCCAATCGATAAAGTGAGAAAACGCCTGGAGCTTCCGTCTGCAGCAACCAATCTCTTCACTGGTATCGTGCAGAACCTCTTTGGCCGACAACGCGTGGAAACTTCGTCGAAAGTCTCTGGGAACCTCCGTTGGCAGCATCTGAATATTCGAGGGGAGTTTCGACGGAGTTTTCACATATTCACGGTTCCGATAGATTTCGGTGCTGCCAAAGGAGGTTCCAGTAAGCTTCGACGGAGTTTCTCGCGAAACTAAAGTTTTGACTAGAATCCTACCCAACAAACATTGCATGTTAAATAAGAGCTTATTCAGACAAAAATAAGCTTCTTAAGCTAAAAAATTGCTTATTCAGCTTTCGATCAACTCAAATTGTCTGTTGGGTAGTCAATTGTGAGAGCTCAGAGTATTTTTTTAAAATTAGCTCTGTGATAAACTCCATGGTAATTATTAAGAGGATTTCAAGATCCGTGAAAAATTTCAAGGGAATAGAATTTTGAGGGTACAATTCCAGTGGGATTGTGTGAAGAGTTTTAAGGAAATTCCGAGGATAATTTCAAGGGTATCTTGAAAAGCATTTCTAAATTATTTTTGTGGAGAATTCCAAGAGAAATTACGGACGAATCTAGATGAGAACTCAAAGATAATTCTGAGCAAAACTATAAAACAATTCGGAAGTAAATTGCATGGAAATTTTAAGGATGAGAGCTTCAAAAAAATCGGCAATGAGTATGCATAAGGGCCTAACTGCGATGATCGATTCTCTTAATCGATTTTCTCTTTAAATTGCTACAGCTAGTTTCTGCAGTTTTCTGAAATTTGTCAAATAAATTGCTGTAGCAGGTTGTATTTGCTATCAAAAGCAAAAACAAAAGCACCGAGCAATGTTAATCTAAACGAATTATTAACAAACGAGAAAATTGCCGAAGAGAATCGATCATCGCGGTTACGCCGTTATGCATGCTCAGTAGACTGATGCAAAATTTGAAATTTTCGCTCCACAGTGTTCAAACGGTTTCAAATCGGGTCCTGATTAGCCTCCGAAATTTTAAATTCATTTGATAAGAAATTTACTTGGCACAAACCATTTAAAGTTTATATGGAAATTACTACGGGAAAACAAAACTTGTTGTTCATTGCCTTCTACTCTTTTTACATATTGTACTGTTAACAAATTCCTTTGCTATTCTTATGGGAAATTTTATCAGCTACAACTTTGCAGGAAATCACTTTTCAGCCAAACGTAAAATTAAATAGTTATTAATTGTTTAAGAGATTGATAATCTTATGGCAAGATTAAGCAACTGTATTGTGGGCAACACTGTAATCTGCAGTGTGACATAGTAGCCATGATTTTTGTCCTCTATTCTACGCTCCATAAACACCAATGTTGCCTGCTGAACAGTTGAATGAGCATAATCATAAGACATCAGTGACTTGAAGCATTAATAATTTTTGTTCTTTACATTTGATCGAAAAGTGATCTTCAACAAAGTTGTAGATGAGAAAATTTTCAACAAACTCAGCTATCATTTTTTAAAGTAAAATTAACTGGTGAATTTTGAGATAGATATGAACCAAAATTATGGTTTCTTCATAGTAATTCCCATATAAACTTCAAATGGTTTGTGCCAAGTCAGTTTCTAACTAAATTAGTTCAAATTTTGGAAGGCTAATCATTGCCCAATTTGGAACCGTTTAAGCACTGTGGAGCGAAAATTTCAAATTCTGCATCAGTCTAATGCTCACTGTCGAATTCTTAGAAAAAAGTTTAAAATTCGTTTAGAATTTAAGGACAAATTTCATGTGTTCTGCAAAGTATTTCTAGACCGTTATAAATAAATTGTCAAGGAATATTCCCAGAGAGAATCTCAAATTTATTCATGTTTTAGAAGAACTATGAAAAGAACTCTGGAAAGGGAAATGATTTTAAAGGAAATGTTTGAGAATAATAAAATAAAACCATCTAAAGTTTTGAGATAATTTTCATTGACAAATTTTGAAGACTTCAAACGCCTTTGACTGCCTGGTACTCCAAAGGAACTGGGTTCAATCCCAGTCGGCACCGTCGGGATTTTCTGAGGCCTAAAATCTCTGATTACGCTTTCCTTCGGAAGGGAAGTAAAGCCGTTGGTCCCCGGTTCATGAGTTGATGGGTCGATAGGAAGGATCCAGGTGTGGGAGCTGCCTCCTTGGCGTCGCTAGCATTGCTTCTTAGTACGGAAAACAAGATCGACGGAAAACAACTCAAGAAAAAAAAACTAATGAAATTGCTAATTGGGATTTACTGGTCACCATTATTTATGCCCATTACTCGAATATTCCCCCTAAGTTGAGGGATCTTCAATACCGAGTTAGGGAGCGTTTGCTGTGTATTCAATTTTTTCGACATATTCCCGTTGCTTTAAGCACAGACAAACGGACGTAACTCTTTCTCCTGATTCGTCGTACACGCATTTAACAATCAATTTAAATATTATTAGCTTCATGAATTTACCACCAATATTGTTGAGACATTGAAAAGCAAGCTTTTTTCCGCGAATAGCTCGTGAAATGTCAGTAGTGAGTTCCGTGACGATATTTTAAAGGAAATTTTATTTAAAGAGTTACACCTGTTTGTCCCTGCTTAAACGTTCTGAAAACTGCTGTGATAACTTTTTTTCTTCAAACCATCACATTGCCAAAGTTTCACTGAACTTCCCACAACACTTTGATGCACTTATCAACAACTTTTCCACTCACCATTTTTATCAAAACAAATATGCACTAAACTCACTAGTCACGCAACGCTACACCCTTCTGCTACTGTTCTGACCTTACGGCTAGCAACACACTTGCAACTTTGAATAACTCAGAACCGTTCTTGAACTACCTTGGTGTTCCACCAACCGTTAACGATCCGTTTCGCGTCACGTCCAAATTCAAACTTGCTTGCCAGCGCCGGCACGCCACCACCTTTTATAGGATTTCAAGGAGGGGGCTTTCTCATTTGAGTGAGACGGGCGCGCGTGCAATGCTTCGGAACTGGTTGTGTTTCCAAGCGCGCAGACCGACCTCTCCGGATGGATTTGATGCCGGTTGCCGGTCTGCGGAAGGAGGGAAGGTGGAAACGTGGAATTTTTCACCCGCCGGAACAGGGCGCTGGGGGTTGCTTGGTTCAAGCTTCGGGTCGACTGCGGGTGGTGACAATGGAAAAGGTGAGACATTTGTTTTGAACCAACAACGTCTAACCCAATGTGTCCGAATTAGATAAACAAGTGAACTTACCTGTTTGATGACGCGGTAGGTTGTTTTTGTTTTTGCAAATATTTAAGAGATATTCGCAGTAGGTAGCTAACATGATTTGAGGAATATGAAGATTTTTTGCTGCTCTTCGAGTTTTTGCAGATGGGTACGTGAATGATATGCATTTCATTTAGCTTCGGGGGTCACTCGTTAAGCAATGGATACAATCTTGTGGATTTACTGATTCTAATTGTTTAACAATTTTGGAAATGTCCAACCATCGAAATTTCATAAACATAGCTGTGATCGCTTTCTAGAAATTGCTTCAAACGTGGAAAATTTCCCTCGTTTCGATTCAACGTTATGACGTTGCCAACCCGAAAGGCCGAAACAGGTTTACCGGCGTTCAGCTTTTTTTTCGGGGCACCAGTCGCCATTCGTATGTATTCAAATATTTAAAATGACGCCACCAAACACTGACTGCGGTGTGTTGTTCTGATGCTGACCAAACAGAATTCCAATTGATTGGAGTTTGAATGTATAATGAGCCTTATCAAAAGAGTGTTTTTCTTGTCCTCAAACGTTGTTGTTTGTCTGAATCGGATGATCGAAGGAAACCCGTTTGACCGCATGGGTTCCAGATGTTTTGCACCGACTAGTCTGATGGCCGAGAAGGCGTTTGGAGGACATCTGGATGACTTCGTAAGTAGGCTGCAAAACAGGCAGACGTGGGATTAATCGGTGAGGGAGGCTCGCGATTTGATTAGCAAATGAAGTGGTCCCCCATTCGAGCATGGGCCGAGCCTCCAAACAGCATTGTCGAGCTCACTCCGTCACAATGAGTCGTAAACAACTTGGCTTTATTGTCGAATGAATATATTACATGACAAAAGACAAATACTCTGTGTAGCTTTGGCTTGTGTTTAATAAATGTTGTGAAATAGAGGATTTAGATTTAATAAAGGGCAATGTATCACTGTACATGTTTGGTAGAAGTGTTGCGTGACCCAGCACCTATACCTAGTTTTTTTTTATTTAAAAAAAGGCCATATTTCTGTAAAATCAATATTTTTTGGTTTTCTGCGTACGACATAAATCGTCGTAACTTTTGTTTTACTAGCGACGTCTGTTGCAAAAATCAACCATTAAAAATGAATTTTAGCCATACATCTTCAAGTCGATTGTCCACCACCTCATACGACCGAAGACACCTCACCCTCTGGAAGTATCAGCTTTTGTAAACAAAGACTTCTTCCGATGATTTCTAGAAAGTCAAGACTCGCCAACGCAAATCAACATCACCATCGGGTAGGGGAAGACTTCCCCTACCCGATGTCATTGTTTACAAAAGCTGTTACGCCCTAATTCTAGCTCTATCTAGAATTAAACACACATCTGAAACACACATTCGTGAAACAGTAACTGAAAGACCTCAACGCAGTAAAAGGGATGAACCTGCATGGCAGAATGCCTAAGTAACATTTTAAGTTTTATGAAATACTACAAAGCAACTATAAAACAACATTAATAAAACCCTGGTCAGGCTATTTTGTCATTAATGCATCCACTAAAACCTCATTAAGATTAGAATATGTCCCTATGCCCACCCTGGAGACGGTTCTGAAGGATGTATTCTCGAGGCTCTTCAAGATTGATTTACTGCAAAAGGTTGTATGACGAACGCATTGAGAACCAATGCATTGAAAGCTACAATAAAAGCTATTTAGCAACATTAAAAACCCTTTTCGAGCCATTTCCTTTAGCCGCTTGCTGAATCCACTAGGAAAGCATCAATCAAGATAGAAAAGGATCTATGAATGCGAGCTTATCAAAATAATTAAACTAGAAGCTGATGGTATAAAAATCTTGTTGAATATTCAAATTTATTACAACAGTTCTTATTAAGTTGCCTAGTTTTAAGTGCCATATTAAATTTTATGTGAAATGTACGTGAAAACATCGAAAAACTTCGATTTGACTAATTATTTAACATTGAGAAAAAAAATATATATATATTCTTCAGATCGAGCTTGACCGAGATTTTTTTTTATTATTTTCACATTTAAATGTTTACTCATTGCTAAATTTACCAAAATTTAGTTATATCTCAGGAAATATAGATTGAAAATCGAAGATTGTAAAAAAACAAGCAAACTAATTGTTGAAGAATTGGATGGATAGTGAACCCTATTGAAATTATTCAGCTAGAATAGATTTTTCTCTTTTTCTCCCATGCAACACTTTCGTTGCTTATCAACCTTATCAGTTAGAGTAGGGATCGCAGATGAGCCAAAAGGCCTATTGAAATCGTGTTCCTTCGGTTCTCTACACACTCTCTCTGTTACTGATCGTATAGATATATAAGATAGCCAGAAATCAATACAGTCAGTCAGAAATATACCTTCAAATAGAACGCTTCTCCTTATCCTTATCAATAACAGGCGAACAAAATAACAGGCGAGCAATAAAAAGTCAAGTGACCGTTTTCAAACCCCCCAGTTTCACCGCGTAGTGTTAGTCGCAAATCCGAACACTAATTGTAACATGGCGGTGGCATAAAAGTTGATTTTCATGGGTCATTTGTGAAAAAGTTGTTTTGCTTTCAAGAATTCCTTAACAAATTAATAAGGTTTTAAAATGGCTTTTATGAAAAAAACTTGCAGGCTGAATTGTATTTATCTAAAGCCATTTTGCTTGATCCTAACCCGTTCAGATTTATGGCAGCATTTATGGAGGCAAAGTTGCCTGCAAAAAGTTAAACGTCTAAGTTTGTTTATCTTTCGATAGTTGCGCTGTGGGATCCAGGGTTCTTGCAGGCGGTTTTCTCCCGATGGATTGTGAGCATTTACTCATATAGTTTGCGATACTGTTTTACAACATTTTGCATTTCGAACAGCTGGAAGCGCAAACGTTCCCGAAAAAGATCCCCTTCTTCCGGATGGTTATAGAAGTGCATCATCCAACGATGCAGAGATGTACGGTTGAATGAAATTTTCGAAGAGTCTTTCGCCGAATAAAATCGCTGCATGGATCGGAAACCATCTAATCTCCGCTAACTAACAGTTTCAGTGGTTTGCTGTCGGTTGTTGTTTCGATTATCATCTATTCGCAAGATCTGGAGAAGTATGGTATGTTTTTAAACTATCGACAATGTTTTATGAATTCCAGGGCCACGCTCACTTTACTCTTCTCCGCCAGATGGTCAGTAGTTGATGGTGTGCTGGCTCTTCTAAACAAGTAAATTTTGCTGAAATCGACTTGAATTTTTCATCCTACTTCGTCTATCCTTCGAGATTTCCTTGTCATAAATTTGGCATTTATTAACTATGAGGGACCATCTTTTAAGCTCAATTTGTAAACAAAGTAAGTGGGAAGCTAATGATGCAAAAGGCTAAAAAGCAACAATAAATGCTTTTTTGTCTAATGCCAAACCTAATTGTTTTATGGTTGCTTTTATATCACGATACTTTTATAACACGTTTATAAAGTATTTTTGTTGCCACTGGACAGTCCCTCGAATCAACATGAGAGTTCTGATCAACCACATAGCTAAACACTAAATGCTCATCGAAAATTAGTGCATGGTGCTTGACGGAGTTGAACAAAGATACAAGGAATGCAGAATGATTCTTCTATTCTAATTTTAATTTTATTCGTAGTTTCTACCGCAGTTTAGCACCTCCTGCATCATTTTTGCTTAACACAATGAAAACAAACATAAACAAACAAGAATATCCATCGCTTAAAGCACGCTGTGGACCCTATTTTCCAACTTTACTTTTGCAAATATAAACAATTAACAACGCCATTGACGTCAACATTAATTCCGGCATCACTGCCAGTCAGATTGATGTAATCCCTCTGTTCTTTTTATTCCACGATTGCTACTGTCAAATCGACCAATCAGAAACTGGCTCGGATTTGACAGCAAATTGGCTCGAAATCGCTATCCGATTGTCAAGTTCCGTCCCAGATACCAACCGGTGGAAACTAACGATTTAAAATTGGCTCACTACTTGGCTAGCCTATTGGTCCCAAGCAAATCGATTAACGTACCCCATTCTAGTCGAAATTCTAGTTCTACAATGTTTGTTTTTTGGTGTAGTGGTAAGCGTGTTTACTCACCTCAGCAGGCGTGGGTTCAATCCCAGTCGGCGCCGCCGGGATGTTCTGGGACATAACATCTCTGATCACGCCTTCCTTCGGAGAGGAAGTAAAGCCGTTGGTCACCGGTTCATGAGTTGATGGGTCGATAGGTAGAGTCCAGGTGTGGGAGCTGCCTCCCTGGCGTCGGTAGCATTGGTGCTCAGCACGGAAAACAAGATCGACGGAAAACAAATCTAGGAAAAAAAAAAGATTGTTTTGATTTGCTATGAAAGTTTGACAGATAAAATGAGAGGCTCGTGGATTTTCCTATGTTTCGAGGGGTGCATCGATTAGCTTGGGACCGAAGATAGTACAAGAGCTTAGCCAAAAAGTTGAGCACGTTTCTTCGGGACCTTCTGGTCTTGGAGTTACCTCTATGCTAAGGGTGTTTGGCTCCGGGTTTTACATATTTTCATGAAACATAGGGTCGGAAATGACTGCTAAGTGAGTTATTCAACATTCTATGTTTTTTTATTGCCAACTTTGGTTAGCTATATATTTTTAATCTTAATGTAGTTTTCTGATTTCAACATACCAAATGAAAGATTAAAGTCTTAACTATCAATGCTCTTTAAAAAGGAACTCGATTCAAGTTAATTATCATACATTAAAATTGAAAAGTATGTTGAAAGTACCAAAAAACTGGTGAAATTTCGTATATTTTAATGTTTTTAGGTTGAAAATTTTCATTACTGTTAACTTAGTTGTGCTACAAAACATTTCCCATGCAGTTTCCTAGATTTGTGCTTTTGGTAGTAACCTTGTAGGTTTTATGGTTTCTTCGTAATTATTGATTTAAAACAGCCATAAAACTTGCGACGTTTTCTTAAAATGTGCTATGGTTCGTACGCTTGGCTGTTGCAGTGGACTACGCACTTGAAAATTTGGTAGAATGTTATTGGCGTTGACAGCGACTCTGTAGCTCTTTACTTCAATGTTAAAATCCATAAGCAAACGTCAGACTGTGTGTGAAACATGGCGGACTTCGTACTATCCTGCCACTCCACGGAAAATTCCCATAAGAAACTGTCAATCTTTGCTAGAAGAGACGATTTTTCGGCGGTGCCGTCAACGCCAATTGTAAATAGAGTTCTCTACCACCGTTAGTATTAGTGAGCAGTTTCACGAACACATGTGTTTTACTGGTTGAAAATAAAAAAAACAAACCGCTGTCAAGTCGAACACTTTGACAGCTGATTTCGTGGTTGAACATAATAAACAAATAGATTTTACACGGCTACACTAGCTAGGTTGTATTAGTGAGATCTTGCGTCGAGAAGTCAATGATGAACGGTAAGAAAAAAGTACCCAAAAGTAAGTTCTTTTCACTCATCTCGGCACTATAGTGCAGGAACCCAAAAGTAGGTAAAGCGGGCCAAAGTAGTTTTCATTTCCTTGTATGCAATGCGAATGGATGACGAGGCTCGGTAGCTCAGTGGTTACCGTTTCTGCTTACTGAGCAGAAGGTCGGGAGTTCAATCCCAGGCCCGTCCCCTTCCTTGCAATTTTTCACTTTGCCTTATTCTATACCCACTAGATTTTAATGAAAACAAATTCTTCTTTAACACCGATCGCATCACTTACCACAGTGTGGGTCCTGATCTAAAAATAGAAATTGGATGAGTGCGCGCGCGTGTGTGTGTGTGTGTGTTTGTGTATTATAATCGCTCTACCAAAAAACGATCCCTGCGTGTGTGTGCAACCTTTCCCCACATCCAACATCCCAGTGATTTCTCGTGGAAGCGCAGAGGATTTCTCGGTTTCCTTCACAGCGAGTACCACGTCAACACATTCCTTCCCATTCCCTAGTTGACCTGCATTCGGACACGGCCGGCGCTGGTATTGCTAAATATTAGATCTCCAGTTCTTACACATTGAGGATGAATGTTAGTCCCAAACATAATCTGTTGGTTCTCTGTGTAATTGCAGCTGATCTGGTAATAACAGAGCAGCAACCGTGGGCGGTCAAGCTGATTTCTGATTTTTTTTTGTATGCAATGCGAATGGAATTTTCCACTAACTTTCTACCCAAAAGTAAGTTAGTTGTACCTAAAAGTAGATAAATATGATTATACTCAACGTTGCGTTCCAACACTTTACTACCGCTGTTGGGTTGTTTTGCTCCTCCGTTTTTAACAACATTAGAAGGAGAAAAGGATACAAACTAGTCAAAAGTAGGTAAAAGTGAACTTGGGTACTTTTTTCTTACCGTGTACGTTTTTAACTTTCGATTACAGCACATCTCCTGCGCCGAAAGAAAACATCACTGTGGAGATGTTGCGCGGTATCGAATATTGCTCAGTCTCAGCAGAGATATGGCAAAATGGCAATTGCAATTTCCATTTAGTTGTAAATGTAATAGGGTAAATTATGGCTTCGGCACCCATTGACTGTTTTCGGCAACCGAAATTGAAACGTTAATTTCGCAGTATTTTCCCATCAAAACTCTTCGCTGAATGTATTAAGCCGATTCCTTAACTTTTCAGCTTCAATCAGATTACATTTTTAAGGACTGTGCAATCCTGTTATGCCATATTTTTCTTCAAATTAAATATACACACTACAAAATACGGCTGATTTCGAGTTGCCGATAATAGAACAGCTGGTTAACACGCAGTTCAAATGGAAAGGGTGCCGAAGAAAAAGAGACTGCCGACAATAGTCACTCTCACCTGAGAAGTTTGGAGCGTTGTAAAAACATGTTCAACCCGTTTTGATCAATTCTGTCGATTGGAATTGGTATAACAGCAAGCAGCAGATAAATGTCAACAAACAAACCTGTCATGTATGTGTGTGACGCTGAGAAATCGCTAATAGAAGTTCGGACGCTGCTTAGACTGACGAGAATACGTAAATTCCCCTATACATAAACAAAACCATGCCAACATGAAGAAATGAATAATTCAACCGTATAAAAGAGAATGATTTACTTAGTTTAACATTTGCACCATAACGAAGTGGCAGCGTATTCGTGATTTGTCCCACGCGCAAATGTCGCAAAAAGACATTTCAATCGCCGTGGGAGTGTCCCGGTGGACCGTCAAAAGAGTTTTAGACCGAGAAAAGAAAGGACAACTATCCGTGAAAATGGCCACAGGTCGTCCGAGGTCAGCTCGGGTTCCGAGGGTTATCGCTGCTATCAAAAGGAAGATTCGGGTGAATCCAGTGCGTTCAATAAGGAAAATGGCAAGGGAACACGGGATCAGTGACTTTACGGCACGGATGATCGTCAAGGAAGATTGCGGGGCGAAGTCGAGGGCATGGAAAAAAAAACTCACATGGTTACCAACCGTATCCAGGAGCTATAAGTCGAACGATGCAAGAAAATCTTGAACTTCCTTAAGCCAAAAATCCGGTAATCCTCTTCACCGAAAAGAGCATGTTTAGCGTCGATCCCGTATCAAATTCCAGAATCGACCGGTGTATTAGTTCTCTTCCGGTAAAAGACGTGGCCGACGAGCACAAGAACGTGTATCTGACCAAGCATCCTGCTAGCATTATGGTGTTTGGATCGGTGGCTTCCGATGGCAAAAAAATGGACCCGGTGTTGATTCCAGAAGGCAACAAGGACCACACGGAGGTCGGGATTTTAAGTAAGTATGTTCTTCCGTGGATCAAAGAACAGTACGGTCCGAAGCCAAATGTTGTATTTCAACAAGATGGGGCTACGGGCCACACCTCGAACCGCACTCAGAAGTGGTTGCAGGAACATCTTCCGTTCTGGGTGAAGGATATGTGGCCGCCATCCAGCCCCGATCTTAATTACTCAATATGGCGCGTCATGAAGGCCAAAGCCTGTTCTAAACGCCACCCGAGTACAGCAAGCCTCAGACAAACATTGACCCGTACCTGGAGAGAAATGGATCCAGACTACATTATTAGAACCTGCCGTGCATTCCGGAAGCGTGTGGAGGCCGTAATTGCAAATTGCAGCAAGTGGAAACTCGATCGATGATTAACATAGTTTAAGACTCTGAGAAACATCCCCCCTTTGAATAAATAAAAAAAAACTCGAAAACGAAATTTTTGAGATTTTTTTAAATTTTGACATTGCACAATGGTGCAAACATTATCACGCATACGGTAGTTGTATGTATGTATGTCCGAAGAATAAGTGAAATGCCATGTTTATCATATCTCAGATATGCTGTAAACATCAATTAGACAAGAAAAATTATTAGACCTCATATAACCTAATCATTTTCCAGGATGCTTTCTCGTACAGGCTGCGTTTGTATTAGATTAGATTAGATTAGAAGAATAAGTGAAATGCCATGCGTCTCCTGGGTTTCACTATTCAATTATGCTAGCCCGTGAGGAGATTTGCGCGCTCTACAAGTGACGAACCTCTCCATCATGGTTGGTTTGTGTCGAAACGATTTCCCATTCCCTTTCATTTTCGGATAAGTAAATACAACAGCAACACTCTGCAATCTAAAATAGAATAACGTTAGCATTTATTTGACCTATAGAAAATTCTTAGACTACACTGTTTCAATATAAAAATATACCAACAATTTGTTCGAATAGTCATCATTCGTGGGGAAAAAGTTAGGCAAAATAATAAATTACACTAACCACTTTTAGTCCCTAATTGTGATCAATCAAGTAGATATAATTTGTTTTTGGTTCACTTAGTATTCCTACGCTCTGATACTAGGGACACAACTTTCATTCGTTCGTTTTGATTATCTTTGTTGTTCGCTTAATCGTTACTCAGTTACGTTATCTTTCGATTTAAAATACTTTAATAAAAATATAACAGTACACAATAGCATTGCGGAGCAAATGGAAATTCGATGATTATGGTAAACAAAAAAGAAATGGTGAAATGATTGCCATGTGAAATGTGAAATGATGTGCTTCAATTGTTTGACAATTATCACACAGATACCTACCAGATAGTTTTGTTTGTCAGGTTCCAACACTGTTTTTATCTATCATATTGATGGCTTTTTTTTTTGTTTGACAACATCAGGACTTTTCGTTACCAGGTTTTTTTTTTCATTCTCGACAGGTGGGTGCGAATACATTCGATTTTAAGGGTGTATGCTTCAGGAATAATCTCCACTACATAACATATGCCATGATATTAATATAGTATTGTCTTGCGATATTTCTACGATTGATAATAATTTACTGATCGCTTTCAATTTTGTATCGTTTAAAGAGAGATGATAAATCAGTTCAGTAATTTGGGATTTAGTCTTCCACTGGCGATTGGTAGTTCTTCTTTCGGAACGCTGCCAGCCGCATCCGTTCCGTTTGCAGGGCCTGTTCCAGCTCGAGGACCCTGACCTGGATTTCCATGTCCTTGGTTTTGGCCTGATGAATGGTCAGCGAACTCAGATCCAGGTCTTGCGAGTCCTCCAACCGTTGGCTGCAATCTTTGGCAGTTGCTACCACGATTCCGGTAGCTTGGGTGACATTCTTCGAGGCAGAGCCCAAGGCCGCTAGGTTCTGACTTCCCCGCGGTGCCTTGACGCGGCTAGCCACTACCAGCTGTGCGGTACAGGCTGCGATTTCCTGCGCCGCCACGATTAGATCCAACTGGTGCCGTGCCCCTCCGGAGACGGTTTTGTTGGCGGCCGTCCTGTAATTCGTGCAAAAATTCTCCACATTTGTCGAACGTTCTGTCTACGATTATTGCGAGTTACTTACACCAAAAAGTTAGCTCCCTGGGCGACACTCTTGGCGGCAGAGATCAATCCCTCGGTCCATTGGTGGTTCCGTTTGTAGAACTCCTTCGCCGAGGCGGAACCCTTTCCGAGGGCAACGATTTCCGACTGCAGAAGGCGCGATTTCTGCACCAGGATCCGGATCGCATGCATCAGAGTGGTACAGGCGTCCAGGATCTTTTCGTTCACCTCGAGCTTGATGCCGGAGTCGGATGCGCGGGATTTCGATAGCATTTCCTAGGTGACGATGAAAGGTGTGGGTGTGGTTATCGAGAAAAACAAAAATTGATATGCATTGTAACTGTTTAAGGGTAGCCCGATCTACAGGGTGATGGATAAATGTATCTCGTTGGTGCTATTTACGTCTGGCAAAACTAGGACGAAATTGGAAAAATGCTTATTTTATATGTCTTTTAAACACAGTTATGTGCTGAAATTTCACACAATATGTTTGTTGATTTCCTATATTACAGGGTTTTTGTTTTGTTGATTTTGGTGAGGTTTGGGAGAGAGATTTTAAAATGCTTCTGCTTCGAGGGAGTTGACTATACGCGCCATCTCCTTTCATATGATTCGATAGTTTACTTTCAATATTCAATTTATATTCATGATGTAAATAAGGCTTGAAACTATCAATTTGGTTAAACATCATTTGAATTTTCCACTGAATTTGGTATCATTCAGTGATGATTTTTCTTAAGGTGGCCAAACGGTCCACTTTTCCCTACTTAAAAAAATCTGATGTTTGCTTTGCGTAACAAATAAACAAATTTTGGATTTTACCACTCAAGGGCAATGAACCAAGTTTTTGGTGAAATTCGGTCATTTTGATTCTCGCCTAATTTTCCAAAATGGCATACAGTCAAAATTCGCTAGTTGGGCCGAGATGGTGGATTCGTTAGTTGGGTCAACTGACAGAAGGCTAAAATATGTTGAGAGGTGTGCGAATCCTTTGTTGTGGTTGAGAGGATTTCACAAAAAGCGGATCCAATCACAGCTTGAAACTGAGTGGAAAAAGCAAATCATATTAAAGGGTGATACGGTCAAAATTTGGTCAATATCAACTTGACGTATTTCTTTCAATTTTGTTTTTAAAAATCTGAACACCCCTCATTTTGAAGGTGTGTGTGTGTAGAATGTTGTTCCTATTTTGATTTTGGAATTCACTCTTCAGTTGTCAAAATGCCGTCCAAGCAAGAAGAGCAGCGTTTCAAAATTTTGCTCGCGCATCGCGAAAATCCAAGCTACTCGCACGCAAAGTTGGCAAAATCGCTAAAAGTTGCCAAATCAACCGTTACAAATGTAATTAAAGTGTTTGGGGAACGTTTGTCAACAGCCAGGAAGTCTGGATCGGGGGGGAATCGAAAACCGGAAGCCGCTGAGACGACAAAGAGAGTTGCCGGTAGTTTCAAGCGAAACCCTAACCTCTGTCTCCGAGATGCCGCAAATAAGCTGGGTGTATCGTCTACAACCGTGCATCGAGCCAAAAAACGAGCCGGACTATCGACTTACAAGAAGGTAGTGACTCCAAATCGCGATGATAAACAAAATACGACGGCCAAAGCGCGATCCCGGAGGCTGTACACGACGATGCTGACGAAGTTTGACTGCGTGGTAATGGACGACGAAACCTACGTCAAAGCCGACTACAAGCAGCTTCCGGGACAGGAGTTTTATACGGCAAAAGGAAGGGGAAAGGTAGCAGATGTTTTCAAGCACATGAAACTGTCAAAGTTCGCAAAGAAATATCTGGTTTGGCAAGCCATCTGTACCTGTGGCTTGAAAAGCAGCATTTTCATAGCTTCCGGGACTGTCAACCAAGAAATTTACGTGAAAGAGTGTTTGAACAAACGTCTGCTGCCTTTCCTGAAGAAACACGGTTGTTCCGTACTGTTTTGGCCGGATTTGGCATCTTGCCATTACGGTAAAAAGGCCATGGAGTGGTACGCCGCCAACAACGTGCAGGTGGTTCCCAAGGACAAGAACCCTCCCAACACGCCAGAGCTCCGCCCAATTGAGAAATACTGGGCTATTGTCAAGCGGAACCTAAAGAAGACCAAAAAACTGCTAATGGCGAGCAGCAGTTCAAGGCAAACTGGCTTTCTGCGGCAAAGAAGGTGGACAAGGTGGCTGTACAAAATCTGATGGCAGGGGTCAAGCGTAAGGCCCGGCAATTCGGATTTGGAAAAGCGGAAGCCTAACTGAATATTTTTCCTGAATTTTATACTAATTGAACTTGAAAAAGAAATTTAATTTGATTTTTTAAATAAACGATTTCACCGATTGAAACGCGTTTTCCCTTGACCAAATTTTGACCGTATCACCCTTTATAGGTACAAATTTTATCAAAAAATTTGTGTAAATTTTCAAACCAAAATACGTTAGAAATTACTTGCTCACTAGCGCCACGTAGGTTACAAATTGCCACAGAAAAATTGACAGACTATCATCTCATGACAAATGGAATGATGGCTGAATGTCAGAGAAAACAGATCCTGCAATGTGAAACTGGCCATCCCTTTCATTATCTCACTTTTCCATGGAACTGCGAATTTGACGACAAACTCGCTGCGCAGCGGAAGAATGAAAGAAATTATAAATCACACTGCCGTACCTGTTCTCCTCGACATGGATGATGGCTCCCGCAGAACTGTCAGAAAAAAAATCAAAACAATCCACTCAGGGTAAACATGCACGGTAAGAAAAAAGTACCCAACGGGAAGTTCACTTTTACCTACTTTTGACTAGTTTGTCTCTTTTTCTCCTTCTAAAACGGAGGAGCAAAACCACCCAACAGGGGTAGTAAAGTGTGGGAACCCAACGTAGAGTATAATCATATTTACCTACTTTTGGGTACAACTAACTTACTTTTGGTAAAAAGCCAGTGGAAAATTCCATACGAATTGTACACAAGTAAACGGAATTTACTTTGACCCACTTTACCCCGGGACGGGACTTGACAATCGAGCTTCTCACTCTTCTTAATGTTTTTGAAGAATACCCTTCGGAAAGTTGTGTGTGGTGTTTGACGGAGTTGACCAATGATGCCAGGAATGTAAAATATTTTTCTATTTTAATTTGGATTTTTTACGGAGTTTCTACCGCAGTTTAGCAGCTTGTATATCATTTTTGCTCAACACAATAAAAACAACCATAAACCAACAACAATATCCATGGCTTAAAACAGGCAGTGCACTCGATTTTTCATCTTTCCTTTCGCAAATATAAACAATTAACAACGCCATTGACGTCAACATTGACTCCGGCATCACTGCCAGCTAGATTGATACGATCCCTGTTTCCTTTTTATTCCACGATTGCTACTGTCAAATCGACCAATCAGAAACTGGCTCGGATTTGACAGCAAATTGGCTCGAAATCGCTACCCGATTGTCAAGTCCCGTCCCAGGCTTTACCTACTTTTGGGTTCCTGCACTATAGTGCCGGGATGAGTGAAAAGAACTTAATTTTGGGTACTTTTTTCTAACCGTGTATCAGAAGGGTACAACTCGAAACGTAAACAATGACGTTGAACGTCGATTTCTTTTGAATGCCCTAATAAACAAATACCATAAACGAACAATAACCCAAACAGTCGAACTTTTTCACAAATGGTTTGGATGATACCCCAAACACGTCGTTAAGCAAAATAACCATAACAAATTTATTAGGGTGGCCACACACCCACGGAATCTGACTACACTAGCTCATAGAACAAACATTGCTCTGTCAGATGATTGAATTAGTTTGAGTGGGTGTGTTGTCATTCGTAAGAAACCGACGATCCAAGTCATTGTTTACATTTCGAGTTAGACCCTTCTGACATGTTTCCCCTGCACTGTGGTTGATTGGAATTCTTGTTGGGAATACAGTTTAATCAAAAATCTCGCGAAAAAATGATCGTTACCGAACTTTTATCCAGTTTTGGCTTCGGAAATTTTTCGGCAACTAATAGCATAATGGCAATTAAGTGAAATTCGTCTGAATATCCCATTACAGATCAAAGTTTTATGCCGTTTTGTGGTTTTGCTTTTCAGATATTGCTTTGCTTTCGATACGGACTAGCCAGCTAGGTGGCAACCCTATCTTGTTTGCCTTGCCTTGCCAAGAGCTTACATCGCTGCGGGTCCGCGAATTGGGGGCCCCACTGACAGCTCATAATTGGTAAACAATAATTATTATTTTTGCTTACATTTTGTAAAAAATAAACATAGAACTCATAAAACATCATTTTCTGATTTTCTACCACGAAGTCAACCATTTATATGGCATAAAATGGAAAATAATTTCATTTGATAAAAATAAAACAATTCAGTCACGCCATTTTTGCAGTTCACACTTGGATGGTAACGTTTCAGATGTTGGTTTCAATAACATGGCGGCATATCACCCAGCTGGGACTAGCTGACGAAAAAAAAATCATCCGGAGCTAACAAATCAAAACAAGAACAAACTTCTGACAGGTCAATGAGTAGCGTCATAAAGGTAACTCTAAGACCACTGGGTTCCGTAGAAAATCATTATTATTTTTGGCTCACTCAGTACCAAAACAACGGTCCCAAGCAGTCCCAAGCTATTTCACTCACCCCTGCATGTTCTGCATGAATCCACACACCCCTGATGTTATCTGTCAAACTTTCATAGCGAATCAAAACAAACATAGTGTAATAATAGAATTTCAACTAGAATAGGGTACGTTAATCGTTTGCTTGGGACCAATAGGCTACTAAAGTGGTGAGCCAATTTAAAATCGTTAATTTCGTATTGATTGTTGGTAGCGTCTAGTGCCATCTGGCTACTTGAATATTTCATTTAAAACGACGGTTATGGAATTTTATACAATCTGAATTTCTAGCTTGAATGACTCTGGCCAAATGCTTACATTCATTACAGTTGCTTTGCATTCCTAAATGCATGTGCTCACCCCTGGCAGAACTTATGTTTGACTGTCAGTAGCTTTTTGATTGGGTCAGTGGGCAAAAACTGACCCCGGGTCGTACTTATTTTGTGCCACTGGTTTCAGGAGGTATGAGATACCTGTTATTATATTAAAAAAAAAACGGGAAATTGAACGCCGCTGGTGCCCTCGTAGAAATAGGTAGAAATTCTCAGACGAAGACATGAGTGGAGATAACTAGTTCTGTTGTTCGAAGTTACACATCTGCAAAACTCTAAAGAGCCACCCACATTAGATTCGTTTGCGTTGCGTTGACGTAAATTTGACAGTTAGACAATAG